CACATTATCCTCATATAAAATAAAATTACAGCTAATAGAGAGAATAATGTTATTCTCGACGGTCTTGGCCAGGCAGGGAGCAGGCCGAGTGAAGAACATGGTTAGGGTTATTGGGCGCCCTGAACTCGGGCATCTCGGGCATCTCGTGGTGATCGTCTAGCGAGGGCCCACCGCAGTACCTATCACTGCGTCTGCGCCGCAGACCAGTATAAACGCAGAGGCACCTAGAATAGAAGACCAGCATCAAATAGTAAAGCCTCTGCACGCCGCTTCACCATCATACGCTCACAACAATGGTCAAAGTCGCAGTCGCAGGAGGCACCGTCGGCGGCATCGGCCTCTACATCGTCGAGGCCATCGTCGAGGCCATCGTCGACGCCGGCAACCACGATGTCGTCGTCCTCTGCCGCCGCGAGAGCCATCACCCCGTCCTCGACAAACTCGGCGTGCCCATCGTCGCCGTCTCGTACGCCCGACCCCGCCGCGCTCGTCGGGGCGCTCGAAGGCGTGCACACCGTCATCTCGACCATCGCCGGCACGGACGCGGACGCCTTCAACGGACGCGCTAGCTCGCACTGCTCGACGCGGCCGTCAAGGCGGGCGCGTGACGCGCTTCGCGCCGGGCGAGTTCGTCGTGCGCTCGATCCCGGACAACCCCCATCGCGCTCTTCCGGCCCAAGTGGCCTGTGCTCGAGGCGGTGCGCGCGAGCGGGCTCGAGTACACCGTGTTCGAGGTCGGCATGTTCATGAACTACCTTGCCGCCGGCACACCGGGTCTCGGCCAGCCTGGACCCGTTCGTATTCATATTCGACGTTGAACGCTGCAGGGCGACGCTCCCCGGGGGCGGTTCTGCGTACTTTGTGCACACACGCGGGCGGAGGATATTGGGAGGTTCGTCTTGGCGAGCTTGGACTTGGAGAGGGTGGCCCGAGTTTAGTCAGATCAGGGGAGACAGGAGGAAGTTGAGCGAGATTGTGCAGCTGGCCGAGCAGGTCCGAGGTGAGTTCAGCAGGTTTTATCGTTGAGTAAGAACGGCGGTTGATCGTCATGTGACGTACTTATCTGAGAAGCAGCTACTGGAGACCCTCAATTCGCGCAGCCCAGGAACGCTCAAACACCCCAACGAGAGACTCGCTGCGCTTGACATGTATAAGATCCTGGCCCAGCTGTTTTTAGAGACCTTGAGGAGTAATCCGATGGAGTATGAGGGTCAGAACCTCAACGAGCTTTGCCCCCAGATGCAGCCGATGGGAGTCCCCGAGTTTCTGCGGCAGTGGTGGGGAAAAAAGTAATAAATCATGACTTGTTATTGGATAGTGGCTGAGACCACCGGAAATTTCGTGATACATCTGGCGAGAAAGTGACGAGAAGCACCGTTTCGCTTCCTGTAGGTGCGATTGCGCGCTGTCGGCTCGAGCGCAACGAGAGCGATAGAACGAAAGAGTCCTGGTCTTCGGGAGTCCTTTCTCGGACCCGTAGACATATGCTCGGTTGACGTGTGGACCTCCGTTACTCACAAGTATGGATGCCAGCCTCTGTATGCATCAAAACCCGATCAAGGGGCTGGGAGGCTCGACGATCACGGCTGTCGTGGCCTCGAATTTGTGTATCCATGCCTAGATCTATCGAATTTCTGCCCTACTGTGCCTTTATCCCTGGTGCGAGATGACAGCAAATGAAATATATCCAGGCGTGCTGAAGGTGCTGAATACAGGATAGATGGGTGCACAAGGACTAGTATGGCCGAAACTTGCGACTCTCTTTGAGCTTCTCGACCTTGGCCTTGTCTTCTTCCCACTTCTTCTTGAGGTCCATGAGCTCTGCCCACGGCATCAGTACCTCCACCAGCGCAGAGCATACAAGGAGAAACGCACCTTTCCGCTTCTTCTCGTGCACCTGAAACGCATAAAACGACTCCTTCTCCTTCGACTCCTTCTTTTGCTTGCGCCCGCGCTTCGACGCCGCGCCGGTCTGCTGGAAGCGTTTGCTCGCGATGGCGACGCCGCCGCCGAGGGTCTGTCCGTACGCGCCGCCACGGGTGACGAGCGTGAAGCCGTCCGCGTCGACCTGGGCCTCGCCCTGCTTGTACTTGCTCGCATGCCGCCTCTTGGTCTGCGCGTGCTCGAAGTGCGTCATCCACGAGTCCGCGTGGGCCTTCACGGCGTCGAGCGGCGGGCGGCGCGAGGCGTGGAGCGCGACGTAGTGTGCGAGGCCCGAGGGCGCGTCGGGGTCGCGCGGCCAGGGCCGCGGTTTCGTGTTCGGGGGCGCCGCGGAGAGCGCGCGTGTGAGGGAGGAGGCGTCGAGGAAGACGACGTGCGCGGCGCGTCCTGTGCGCCGCAGCGTCCGCGCTGTTTGTGGGGGGAGAGGCACGATTGGCGGGGCGGCGGCGGTTTTGTCGCCTTTCGATGTCTTGCGCTTCTTTCGAGGGCGTGCCGCCTCTGCTTCGGGCTCTGCTTCCGCACCGCTCATGTCCATGCCGTCCTCGTCCTCTTCGTCGCTGTCGCTCGAGGGTTCTTCCTCCTCCTCTGCAGGTCCATCGCCGTCAAAGATCACCTGTTCGACCGTCCCACTTTGCTTGAAGAGGAGCGTCACTTCTCGCTCGGTGGCGTCTGGGGGTATGTTGACCAGAAACAGTGTGCGTCCCTCGGGCAGGGCGGCGCGCCGGCTCTGGGCTGTGGTCTTCTTGGAGCCAGTGTGTGGCCTCGCATAGATGTAGTGTGTGGAGGAAGACGAGTACTGGACGGGGATGGGCGTGAAGCCTGCGATGGAGGACGGAAGGGACATGGTGTGTGGTGAAAATACTTGCCACGTGCGGGGACAGCTGTATTCGGATAAGCTTCCGTGGTGGCGCAGGCGTCTACTGCCCCCGCACTTTCCACTTGTAGCCACCGGACCGAAAGACGACGGGTAGCCAGGGAGGCCATCGCCGGGTGCATCGGCCGATACCCCCAAAGAGAGCCCAGTGGTGCGCCCAGATCAGCTTCGTTTCGAGGATGAAATCTCGGGCCATAGGCTACAGCACAAATGAAACGGTTTGTACTCGAGTACTCCCAGCACCTTTTCCCTGCTAATCCCGGCCATTTGCGAATGTACCGGTATCTCCTTCTTGGGCTGAACGTCTCGACTACTGTCTCATGCCACAATCTGAACCCTGCCCATGAGCTCCGCCATGAAACCACTGATAGTTAGCAGCTGACTAGGCCCTGCCTCACTGCCGACATAGGGCAATTCGGCGACGTCTGCGGCGTGGGTCGCCGCGGAAGTTTATCGAGCACAGCGCAGCAGCAATGTAGCTGCGTCCGGTTCACTTCGGACCTTTAGTACAATGTAGGATCTTGGTTGTCAAAGTCTACTGGCTCCTTGTGGCGCCGGATCCTAGGATCGCGGGCCAATGGGAATATCAACTCAAGGCGTCTTCCACCGTCTCGCCTGTTGCTGCGATCGCTTCCCAGCCGTATTTCTCCGTTCACTCCACGGTGCTGCTCTGTGACGCTGCAGCAACCAGACTCGGTACGCACCAGGGGACGCCAGGCTTGTCAGTTACGTCGTCGGGGCTATCGACTGCGCGCGTCGGGTTACGGAGGCTCGCGTCCCGAATCTCGAGTCAACGCGATCCATGGGGACCGTGCCGCGTTTAATACAACTTAGAAGCAGCAACCTACATAATACGGGACTGTCCGGGTGGAGATATCTTCTGCGCATACCCCGCACCATCGCAGGTTGAAACCAGCAGCGCAGTGGAGAGCTTCCGCTAGTGAGGGCGACCCGATGATGCTTGGGGTTCCGTTCTGATACAACTCTGATACGCATACACTAGTGCGCGTGGGACATAGTCAATCAAAAGCAGTCGTCATGGGACACTGCGCAGCTACTCATTTCTTGACAGATCACTAAACATGCCAAAAGCGGCAAGCGAGGAAATTTATCTGCGAAATTATTTCATATCCGAGGAATTTATGTCAGTGGAAGGCTTAGAGCTGCGCAACCCACACAATGAATTGTGCGTCGCAAAAGGTGCATATCAGAAGCCATTTAGCTCGTTAGAAGACCCACTTAGCCTGGGTACGGCTGGACACAGCCCTTGGAGGGGCGCAATCGCGAACTACAATTGCCGAGAAGCCGCCAACCCAAATGCGGACATATCTTGTCGGACTGAATTACCGTGTATCCACCAGCTCGGAACTAATCTCACCGCCATACGCATCGACTGCGGATGCAACACGAACCAAGAGGGTTCCAAGATGCCTCTGGGCACATAAAAGACAAGCCTCCTGACGGTGTCAGGTTCTCACCCGTCTCACGATACTCCCTCACCCGTGCAGTCCTGGCCGACCTCGAGCTCAACACACGCAAAGACATGTCGATGTCCCACGACCCCGACACCAAGCACCCGCGGACGCCAAGCCAGGGGTCGAGCTCACGTGGGAACGTGGTGGATCATACTGCGCCGAACGGTGAGTTTCAGTCTGGGCTCTGCAGCCCCCCGTCTTGTCCGCGACCACCATGAGCTCAACTGGCTCTGAAGTGACCGACGATCCCCCTATGAGCAATGTCGCCAACGGCAAGCGGCCAATCGCCGAAGGACATGTCATCAAGGTGCAGCCGCTGAAGCGTAGCGAGATGCAGGTGCGTTCGCCCGCATTATTCTACGAAAAGCAGCGTCTCATTTTAAGTAGCCTTCGTACGCGCAAGATATGGGCACCGCAGAGGTGCGTGTCCGCGATATCGCTTTGCGCTGAAGATGTGTCTAATGAGCAACACAGGTCACCCACGGGGTATACGGAAGCATGCTGCATTCGTTCGGAGTATGCGTCGGTTTCTGTGGTGCCATTCCTTGCTGCCCGCTTCCTAATCCATTCCGCAATGTCCAACAAGGTATGCTGCGCTTTCATCAGGAAGCTTTACATTGCTTATCAATGTAATTTAGGATCCGTCGGTCTTGTGTCACGCTTTGGCCAGTTCTACAAGTCTGTCGACCCTGGCCTCGTCCAGGTCAACGTCTGCACAGAGTCCCTCCGCGTTGTAGATGTCAAAATCCAGATCAGTCCCATTGGCCGGCAGAAGGTCATCACCAGAGACAACGTTGATGTGGAAATGTACGTCGCTGTTCATTGGATCAGGCACACTACTTACGGTTTGATGCTTCAGTGACTCTGTCATCTACTTCCAAATCATGAACCCGTACCGCGCAGCCTTCGGCATCACCGATCTCCGCCAAGCCCTCATCGAACGTGCGCAGACGACGCTCCGTCACGTCGTTGGCGCGCGGGCGGTCCAGTCCGTCGTGACCGAGCGCGAGGCGATCGCGTTCGAGATCGCCGAGATCGTGGGCGACGTCGCGGACAAGTGGGGCGTCGCGATCGAGGGCATCCTGATCAAGGACATCATCTTCTCGGCGGACGTGTCCGCGTCGCTGTCGTCGGCGGCGCAGCAGAAGCGGATCGGCGAGTCCAAGGTCATCGCCGCGCGCGCCGAGGTCGACGCGGCGCGCCTCATGCGCCAGGCCGCCGACATCCTCGCGAGCCCCGCCGCGATGCAGATCCGCCAGCTCGAGGCGCTCCAGGCGATGTCGAAGAGCGCGCAGAGCAAGGTCATCTTCGTTCCCATGCACCTACAGAGCGACGTCATTGGCCAGGCCGCGGGCCCCAGCAGCAGCGGCAGCGGCATGCAAAACGTCATCGCGAACGAGAGTGGCGAGGGCATGGGTTCCGCAGGCCGTGCAGGGCTATTGAACGCAGTCTCTGATGTTTGATGATGTGCGCGTTCTGGTTTTTTTTTCACGATTTTCATGCCCTTATTCCTGCTAAGATTACCCTCGTCTAACGTATTGGATTCCCCTTTAATGTGCTACGACTTATCAATCCATGTTCGTGTTTGCTTGTACTAGCTGTATTAGTACTCACTCCTGACTACATACTGCGATGAATATTGTTGATGTCTGAAGAAGCGATACACCAGTGAACGCTTCGCCTGACATCGTGATAAGGGCGGCTCAACAACTTACAATCGGTGTATGTTGTCTGTCGACATGGAGAGGGCTAGTGGCCTGATCGAGCCTGTGATGGTGAATAAGTCTACGCCAGTAGCTGCTACCTCGAGACATGTCTGTAACATTATATCAACCTTGAATAGTTCGTGGGCTACATGTACGATGTACTGTAGTTTACTTGTCACAGACTATATATATGGGCAGATGCTCGGATGCTTGTGCATTGTGTAAAGATCACCGGCGGCATGCTGGATAGAGGCCTGTTCCCGGCGCAAACACGTGCGAGGAGGGCTAGCTCCCCGACATTCTCGGAGTGCTTGCTACCTCCAGTTGTGCGCCACGCAACGGCGTACCATTGCAAGGCGCCAGATCGCGTGGTTGTAATCCCCTCGAGGCGTCGCACTAGTTACAGCCCGCCTAGATCGGTGTATTATCAGGAGGCTTACACGCAGCCTAACAAGTTCGTGAAAGGACGAGACACGGCACACTGCGTATAGCAGATCGGTATCAACACAGTACTGATTAGGCAGTCTCGATGCATTCATGTTACAATGAGGCGCGGTTCATCCCAGGGATATGCGCTCATGCGAGGTCTCTCATGGGAGAACACGCCTAAGCTCGGCCATCTCCTGCTCCAGGCTGAAGACAAAGATTGCAGCTCCACAAATCAGCAGCGATAGTGTCTTCTCCCTTCCCCAAGAATGTACGTCCTTGTCATCCGACGTCAGACGGTGCCTTCCTGCTCGCGGCAAGCATGCATAATGTGCCACGTATGCAGCGCCTCCAGGTGACACTGTCGCCGAGAGATGTAGCGGAAGTATCAAAGTCATCTGGCCGCCATTCGCTGCCGCCGGTTGGTTGCAGAGTACATTTTCGGGGACACCTCGCTGGGTGTGACCTCGTTCTGACCGCGAAGCAGGCAATGGGAAGGGCGAAGGGAGTCTGGGAGGAAGTCTGGGAGACGTGGCCTTCCCTAAGCAGCAGCTCTTGATGGTAACTAACCGACCCTACTCCCCAAAAATGGCTGAAAGTCTGGCCGATTTTGTGACTAAGCCCGAGCCTGACTGACACGTATCACGTACTTTATATTAGACGCCCATATATTGAATATAACGCGACGGCGGGGCCTAATGCTCACTTTGTTCATCTTCCTGCTCCCCGACATCGACGCTGAGCAGTCAAAATGCGGTTTTCGAAGGCTCTCGCTGCTCTTGCCTTGGCTGCCGTCGCCCTCGCGAGCGATGTCCTTGACCTCACCCCCGACACCTTCGACGAGCTTGTCAACCCTGAGCCCCTCATGCTCGTAGAATTCTTCGCGCCGTGGTGCGGGCACTGCAAGGCACTCGCCCCTCACTATGAGGAGGCAGCGACCGTCCTGAAAGAAAAGGGCATCAAGCTCGCCAAGGTCAACTGTGTTGATGAGGCAGACTTGTGCCAGAAGAACGGTGTCCAGGGCTACCCGTGAGTGCTATGCACGCTTCTGCGCCGTTCAGTTGCCTAACGCAATGACCAGCACGATACGGGTCTACCGTAACGGTGAACACACCACCTACACGGGAGCCCGGTCAGTGGAGGGTATCGTTAGCTACATGACCAAGTGAGTTCCACCGGTAACAGATTTGCCTCCGTGCGATACTCACACAGATTGCAGGCAATCTCTCCCTGCTGTTGGCTCAATCACGACGGAGATCTTTAACGAGTTCAAGGGGGCTGACAAGATTGTTGCTCTTGCCTTCGTTGAGTCTGCGTCTGACCCCCTCGCTGTTGAGTTCAATGCGACCGCGAACAAGCACCGTGACGATTACCTCTTCGGCATGACCACCGACAAGGAGGTCTTCGAAGCTGCCGGCGTCACTCCTCCGGCTGTTATCCTCTACCGTACATTCGACGAGCCCGTGACCGAGTACCCGTACCCGATCTCCTCGCTCACGGCCGACGACCTCGAGAACTGGATTAAGGATCTCGCGGTGCCGGTCCTCGACCAGGTCAACGCAGAAAACTACCAGGCGTATGCGCAGAGCGGCAAGCCGCTCGCGTACCTCTTCCTCGACCCGTCGGACGCGAAGAAGGAGGAGTACATCGATCTCGTGAAGCCAGTCGCGGCCAAGTACAAGGGCAAGGTTAACTTCGTGTGGATCGACGCCATTCAATTCGGCGATCACGCCAAGGCACTGAACCTCAATGAGGCCAAATGGCCGGGCTTTGTCGTCCAAGATCTCCAGAACCAGCTCAAATACCCGTACGACCAGTCGCATGAGCTCGAGGCCGCATCCCTTGGCGCGCTCGTCGAGGGCTTCCTCGACGGCACGATCGAGCCGTCGCTCAAGAGTCAGCCTATCCCCGATGAGCAGAAGGAGAACGTCTTTGAGCTCGTCGGCAGGCAGTTCGATGATGTCGTCTTCGACGATAGCAAGGACGTCTTCGTCGAGTTCTTCGCTCCCTGGTGCGGTCACTGCAAGCGTCTCAAGGCAACTTGGGACTCGCTTGCCGACCGCTACGCTGATGTCCAGGACCGTCTTGTTATGTAAGGCGACTCTTCCTGCTCGTAGCTGCTCAATGCTGACGTTATGTACAGTGCCAAGATGGATGCCACCGAAAACGACCTCCCGCCGTCTGCTAACTTCCGGGTCGCTGGCTTCCCGACGCTCAAGTTCAAGAAGGCAGGCAGCTCAGAGTTCATCGACTATGACGGCGACCGCTCGCTGGAGAGCCTTGTTGCATTCATTGAGGAGAACGCGGCTAACTCGCTCGAGAAGAAGAACGAGTCTGCGCCACCACCGCCGACGCCCGAGGCGCAGGAGCCCCTTGGACACGACCACCATGACGAGCTGTGATTTAATTTATATATATGGGTGTCTGCATCGGACTGGAGTTTCTCTTGTATCTTTTGTTTCTTTTCATTCTTATGTGCATCTCATACCGTAATTGAACATCTGCTTACGCCTCAAAGAGTGTCCGCGAGTGTTTCCGCACATACGCAGCGCGTTCCCCTAGGGTCTGTATGACGTCCGAAGGCCCCGCGTTCGCCGCAGCTCCCTACGCCCTAATCGCGTGTCGCTTTATGTGCATTCAGTTGACTCAATTTTTCTAGCCGGCTTGGTGAGAGCAGGCAGTACAAAGATTGCTGCGCAGATTGGTTCAAATAGGCGCCTAGCTAGTATTCGGTCATCGCACAGGCTGTCCTGCAACTTTCATCTACCTCACTACAGCCACAAGCCAGCCCCGTACTCTGAGCCATGGCGTCCTCCGAGTTGCTGAAATCCATTCAAGCGGGCAAGAAACTGAGAAAAGCCGAGACAAATGATCGTAGCGCACCGTTGGTGGATGCCCCGAAGGGTGCAGGAGGCGGAGGTAGGGTTGGTGGTGGTGTCGCGTCGTCAGCACCGTCGGCCCCAGCAATCGGTGGTGGCGGAGGACCACCTCAGCTTGGAGGACTGCTTGCGGGAGGTATACCCAAGCTGAAGCCGGTGGGGAGCGGACCAGGTGCGTATCTATCGTATCTCAGCGTCGCGATGGCCCGCTCACGATATGCGCAGCGAGACCGCCACCCAACCTCGGTAAACCACCTACGATACCAAAGCGAAATGGTGCGACGCCTGCGGCCCCAGCACCACCTGCACCGCCTGCGCCTCCCAGCCGACCAGCGCCGAGTGTTGCACCCGCACCCCCAAGCCGAGCACCCCCGCCTACCAGACCACCCGCCACACCACCTGCGCCCCATGTTGCGCCCCCTGCACCTCGTGCACCCACTCATTCTGCGCCGAAGCCGCCATTCCTCCCGACTCGCGCCCCACCAATCGCACCCGTGCGCTCTGCGCCTTCGCCTCCTTCAGCACCTCCAGCTCCCCCGCGTAGACCCCCGCCGCCGCCAAGGGGCGAATCATCCGCTCCCAGCCTACCGCAACGCTCTACGTCGGCATCGTCGGCACCCTCGACACCACCACGCGCCGTGCCTCCGCCGCCTCCTGCACGTCCACATTCTGCCGCTCCAGCACCACCGCCACGCCCATTATCCATGGCACCTGCAACTCCAGCGCGGAGGGTCCCTGCTCCGCCGGGCGCATCAGGACGAGCCCCGCCTCCTCCGCCTGCTCGTCCCCTCTCTGCAGTCGTGCAGTCTGTCTCAGCGAACGACTCTCCCGCACGCGCAGTCCCGCCTCCTCCTCCAGCGCGGAAACATGCCCCACCCCCGCCTGCGCGGTCTGCAAACGCGGTGCCAGCGCCTCCGCAGCGCGTGCGCCAGCTCGTCGCAGAGTCCGAGCCGGCTCCACCCCCACCGCATGCACCGTCTCCAGCCGCAAGGCACGCGACGCCTCCGCCTCCGCCTACTCGCACGGCACCGCCGCCGGTACGCAGTACGCCTTCTCCGCCTGCTGCGCCTCCTCCGCCACCGCCGCCTGCTGCTGCACCTCCCGCTCCGCCTGCTGCGCCCCCGCCGCCCCCACCTGGTCCTTCGCCTGCACGCGCCAGGACGATCTCAACGCCTGCAAAGCCATCTGCACCGTCCGCACCGACCAGCAGGACGCTGTCTGCGCCTGGTACGCCTCACATTAATGGTGCCATGAACGGCACACAGAGGAAGAGTAAGCGCATCGTCTTCGGATGTATCAGTACTTCGCTGATTATGTGTGACCAGTTCCTTCTCCGCCGCCCACAGTTGGCTCGCACACCTTCCCTGTCTCAGGCTTACCGCCGCCTCGTCCGTTTTCGAAGACGGCAAGGAAGTACGGAGGCGGGAGACAGCGCGGCTCGGACTTTGATCTCAGAGCGCTTTGATACCTATCTTTATCTCTTTCTGTCTCGCTTGCTCAATCACTCGTTTCCGACCGCTTTATACTTATTGAGCTTATGATCTCTGCGCCTTCTTCTTTCTTTTCGAGGAATGGTTGTCTCTAAGATACCGGCATCGTCTGCAGCAACATGATTAGTTTGCTGGCTTTAGCCGAGTCTGTAAGGGAGTAGGTTCCCGGGCTGACTACACGTACATAAATAAGTTACTAGAAAGATGAAGACAGAGTCGTAACAGAGGCCATGCAACATTGGAAGCGCATGCGTATTAATTAAAATTTGTTATTCAGAGCCTAGGTAGCAGCCCTGAAGTGGTCACGGACATAACCGTCCGTCCAGCGGTAGAATCATCCACGAGCATGACGTCTGTTTGTGACGCCTCGCGGCGCCTCCAACCATGACTTCCAGTCTGTTCTACCACTGCATGCTCGGCCGCCTGACAATTTCCAAACTGACACACGACTCCTGAGAGTACGCCGACGACGAGCTATCGCTCCGCCGGTGGCGCGAGATCTCATTCCGCGTGTTCGTGTCGCGATACTCTTGTAGCGCGGTACCCGAGAGTAGCGCAGAGGGTGGGGGATGCGGACCCTCTACCATACCCGCGCTCGCCGGTAATTCGAACGTGCTGCCGGTGGCAGTCTGCGGCTGCGCAGGCGCCGCCGGGGCGGATACGGAAGTGAACAGCGGCAGCGTGGCTGAAGACGCGGGCGAGACCTGGGCCTTGGGCACGGACATCCAGGGGGTGGGGAGCGCGCGCCGGCGTGTCGAGCTTAGTATGCTCGGCGGATGGCTGGGAAGGGCGACAGGCGGGACCGTAGGCGGGACAGGGTGCAAGACAGCAGTAGGGAGTGACGGAGCAGGCTCGCTGGTTGAGCTCCTGATCCGACTGCTGGACGAGGCTGTCGTACGGCGCGAGAACCGCGCGCTTCGTCCGAATGCCCCCCTGCGGGACTTCCTGGCAGCGTTGTTGCCATTGCCCACGTCCGGAGAAGGGAACCACTGCGCTCCAGGTGCAGGTGAGCTCTCATACACGGGTGTGAGCTCCGTGTCTGCAGTGCCGGCGGCAACGCTGGCACTGAAGGTGCGCACACGTGTCGAGGAACGCCGCCGCCAGAAGTGTCTCGAAGTCGAGGACGATGGAGTCGAGGAGTCGAGCGCCGAGAGCAGCAGCGCTTGGCGCCTAATAGATTTTCGGGCAGAGCGCGGCATGCCGTCGTCCCACTCGGCAAACGACCCAGCCGAGCTCTTGGTTGTCATGATAGAGGGGCTATGCGAGAAACGGTATGTAGTCCGACGTGAGCTGCGTGGAGAGAGCGCGAAGCTCGTCTGAGTCGGGGCGGGTGAGACGTGCACTGCGCCATCCGCCCGCCGCTTGCTTGGTGTCACCTGCAGAATGTCGGAGCCATATACAAGCGAGGACAGCGACGCGCGGTCAATCTCGTAAAGAACGTCGTCGTCGTCGTACAGGACAGTAGCCGTATTCTGCTCGCCTTCCGGACGCGGCACGGCGGGTCCCGACATCGCCTCGGGTTGGGTTTGGGATGTGGACGCGGCCTCCATCTCAAGCTGTGCCGCAACCTCGGCCTGCGACCGTAAAATCTTGCCCGGGAAAACGGAAAACTCGTGAAACTGTGGTGGCGCGCTGCGCGGGTGGAGAGGCACAGGGAGCATGATTGGCTTGACGGAGTGCTGCTGCGTTGTAGCCCCAGTGGTGATGATGATGACGTTCTCCATGTCAAGCGGGCTGTTGGCCTGCTCGAGCTCATCGGCGTCGAACATGTGCTCCCTTGATGCAAGACTGAATGTGGTATGAGAGGTGGAAGTAACAGAATGTGCGGAGTGCTTGGTCGCAAAGGCTGATGATTGCATATTAGACTTGCTAGAAGGATGCAGGGTCGTCCATTTCCAGTTAAAGGCCGCTGCATTCAATAAAAGCTATAAGCGAGGTTACACGAGTTGGACAACACAAAACACCTACCAAACACAGTCACAGCGCCGATGCAAAACGGAAGAAATTTCGCGACGACATTGGTCACGATGGAGTCTGGCACGACGGTGAGCAGATCGAGCAACAGAAGGCTGCACGCCCTGACGATAGTCACAGCCTTGACTGGGTGATCGCTGAGCCAGCGGCGTCGGCTTCGGGACAGTATCACGAGACGCACAATGAGATACGTCTCGATGACAAACCGAATGATGCTTGATGTCAGGGTGGTGGGAAGAAAGCTGAGGTTGACAGCCCTTTAAGTAGGGAGATTGCACGACAGTGATCAATCGTACCGTTTTTTGTAGCAGAAGACTATGCCAACACTTTGAGCTACCCTGCGCACAATATTTAGTTGGAATATCACGATGGGACAAATATACTCACTTCGTTGTGCCGCTGTTGGTTGCGTTCGTCGCGAACACAAATGCTAGTACGATTCAAATAATTGTATCCATGAATAGCAAATGGATCACCTACCAAGTCCCACGAGTGCAAAACCATACAACGCAAGCGGTTCCCATCTCTTGACACCAATCTGACTGAGTTCGATGATCAAAATCATCAGACCCAGCAGAATTGCGACCTGAGAGGCCATGCCTCCCCACGCAACCACGAATACTGTAAATGGCGTTTGAGACAAGGGTAACTGGAGGGGGAAGCACGAATGACATACCACAGCCTGTTTTCCAGGCGCTCTGGTTCTGGAATGCTAAGAGCGAGATGAAATAGGCTAGCCCGGCGAGGGAGAGGCACAGATTGAGCGTAAAGACGAGGGCCATGTGGTCGCTGTAATTATGTATGGAGGCCGTCTCCTCTTCATGTAGCGCGGCCTTCTCTGAGCACAACGTGGGGAGTTCGAAGGCGCCCCACTGCGAGAGAAAGTACAGATAGAACGATTGGAAACACCGATGCAGGCGCGCCAGGACACCACGGAAGAAGAGAGAGCTCGACATGTGCTGCAGACCATTCATGAAGACGCATCCGAGGAAGAAGGCAGATATGATGCGTCTGGGGACAATACGTGTAAGCCGCGTAGTAATTAGCAAGAAAGGGACGACGTACCCATTCGGACGGTTGAGATAGGACACTGCGAAGGAGTTTTCAGAAGACAACGATACGTTAGACCATCCAGGCAAAGACATGGCAAAACGCTGATAAAGCTTCCGGGATCAGTGTGTATAACCAGGGCCGGCCCAGCGAAAAGGGTGCGCCAAAGTGTTTTGGAAGAAGGGGGGAAGGGGGGAGGAATATAATAAAATAAAATGAGAAAGATGGAAAGAAGCAGAGAAATAGGCGAAAGATTGAGAAGAAGAATCACCGCTAGAGGCCAGTACAGGATCTGCCCTGCAGCATCAGTGCATCAAGCAGGACGAGGTGTCGCCTTGTGTCGTCTCGGGAAGAACCTGAGCGGCCGGCGAAATGCTATGCAGGATGAGAGCAGAAATCGGATCGGCGGCCATATATTGCACATGCGTACCTCGCTGAATATGTTTCAGCTTCTCGCGGTCTGATGGATGATAAGAATCAGCCACTGTTCGCCCAATTGGAGGGCAGTTCACACTTAAAATCATTTTTAAGTGTGAACTGCCTTCCAACCGGACGAACAAAATCTGCTCGTTCTACCTTCAAATGCGGTGTTGAACCACTCCTTGAATCAGACGCTGTTACGGCACCAGCTGGGACTGCAACAGGACCTCCTACAATTGGGTCATATGCCTGTCCGGGCCCTCCAAAATTTTGCCGGAAACGCCCGGACAGCAGGGTTAAAACGTTCGGATAAAACCAGGCCTCGGAGTCTTCGGCACCCAAAACGTCTGGGCTACGGGTAGGCCTAGCTAGACTTCGTCTACTGCCCGGTAGGTGCAGTTCCTTCGTCTTACCTAGCGAAAAACGATGCTGAGTACTAGTAGCAACGATACAAATAGCATCATACTGGTGCCACCACTTGTTAGGACTGTTGTCCTCGACCTTGAAGCCCATCTCGTCCGCCCCTAAGCCCGAAGTCTTCTTAGTGGCCTTCCGACGAGCTTTTACAAGTTCGTCGTCCGCTTCAGCAACTCTGCAAACAGTAAGTGCCAACTGAAACTTACTGCAACAGTATGGTAGCGAAATTGGGTGAGCTCGAAGCGCCTGCTCGGATTCAGTCTCCGCAGGACCGGCAGGGTAGGACCCCAGGTACACGATAGCTTGCAGGTGGTGTAATATGATATATATATATATATATAATATAATAAAACACCTCGGGCGTCAAATCCCCGAGACAAAGAGGCACTCTCATTGGCCAGTGATCCCCTCTCACGAGGCGCCTCTCACAGGGCGCTGCACACCCAGCCAACCGAAGGTTGGCGGCGGGCGGCGCGTTCCTCTCATTTCTCATTCGATTTCTCTTAATTCTCTTCTGAATTCTTCTCTCAATCTCTTTTCTCAATTCGCTCTGCCCGTGCGTAGCACGGGTCACCCTCTCGTCTAATATAATAAAACACCTCGGACGTCAAAGCCCCGAGACAAAGATGCACTCTCATTGGCCAGTGATCCCTCTCACGAGGCGCCTCTCACTGGGGCGCTGCACGCCCAGCCAACCGAAGGTTGGCGGCGGGCGGCGCGTTCCTCTCATGTCTCATTCGATTTCTCTTAATTCTCTTCTGACTTCTTCTCTCAATCTCTTTTTTCAATTTTCTCTGCTCGTGCGTAGCACGGGTCACCCTCTCGTATATATATATACAAACCAGCTTATATCCAAACCAGCTATCAGCTCTTTTGTTGTGTCACCCCTGTATACTCTGCGCGTATGATATTCAAACTTTCACATATTTATAATTATCTGCTGGCTGAGGTAGGTGGCACATAAGCCGGTGTTTCTGCCGCCAGTCTCACTGTTAAACGTTGAACGTTGAACGCCTGCCGGTCGCGGGGACGCGCGCAGGTCCCAACTGGCCCGGAGGTATCATTGATGCTGTTAGCTGTCCTCCAGCCACCGGTTGCGCTCTGCCAGGACCCGCCCTTCGCTGTCGTTGCGTGCTCCAGAGTCCAGCCCTCCACCTGTCTGCGCTTGCCGCCGTCGATGACCAGCGCGCCGCGGTAGTCTCCGACGACAATACGCAGATACGGTGGGAGCACACGCACGAAATCCTATGATGCGTCGCGCAGCAGTGCCGTGGCGCAGGATTTCGACCGCCATGACTGTCACATCACGCAGGTGCACTGAAAGCGCCACCTGGCACAAGAACGGTCCGCCCAGTGTCGAGTGTTGCGGCAGGAACTCGAGCACGCCCTCAAGCTGATGTTCCCGATGCATGTCAACCGGCCGGCCCAACGCCCTGCGCGGCCTCGAGGGTAAGGCGCAATTCCTCGTGGGTCATTGTGTGCAGATACCTGCGTGCCCAGCATGAGTCCTTCTGGGAACCACCAGCCCATCAGCGGGACGCGAATCCGAGCGGGCGCTTTGAACTCACCCAATTTCGCTACCATGACAGGGAGTGAGCTGCTCTTTCGGCCGCTCGCACCTTGGTGCCACGCTAACTTACCAGCAACTCGGCGAAGCCTCCGATATGCTCGCGCGCGAGCTGTGCAAGAAGGGCGTGGAAAGGGGTTCTAGAGTCTGCCTCCTCGTCCAACGCTCCCTGGGCATGCTTGTCGGGATCTTTGGTATCCTCAAATCGGGCGCGTCATACATTCCTCTGGACGGCGGCGTAGTCACCGAGTAGACGTTCATCTACGTGCTGAAAGAATCCGGCGCTGCTCTTATTGTCTGCACCTCGGTATTTACGCACCGTGCTCCCCACGGTCTGCAAGTACTATGCTTGGAAGACTTCGCACCCTCTAATGGCAACGGCACAATGCAACTCCCAATCCAAGAGCAGAGTTTATATCTCGATGAGGCCTACGTAATTTACACATCAGGTACGCTGCCGTTCCCTGTCTGCATATCTATGACCGAACCATACTCCAGGCACAACTGGCATGCCCAAGGGCGTGAGCGCGTCTCACAGGAACGTAACCAACTGTATGTATCCCCGCCGTTCTTCATAGCGTCTGCTCATCACCCGTATCGCAGTGCTCTGCCACGAACCTGGAAATCTCGGTATCTGCCCCGGGACTAAGGTCTCGCAGCTGCTCAGCGTGGCCTTCGACATGTGTCTGGGAAGTCCTCGGCTGCCTGCTCAACGGCGGGACACTCGTCCTGCGGGGCTCGAGCAAGCTCGAATGGGAGCGCACGCTCCAGTCTGTGCACGTCGTCGTCGCGACGCCGACGATCCTCCAGTGCTACCGCGCCGCGTACTACCCTGCGATCCGCGTCGTCGCGACCGCGGGCGAGCCGTGTTCTCAGGCGCTCGCGGACGAGTGGTCCGTCGGGAAGGCGTTCTACAACTGCTGTGGACCCACGGAGGTGCGTGCGGCGACATCAGGAAGCAGCGTCTGACTACGTAGCGAGGGCGCTTGCTACCCTGAGCCACCGCATCTGCCCTTGTCGGGTAGCGCACGCGTAGAGGCTCAGGAGTGCCTGGTAGTACCCAGCGGCAGCGCACACATTTTAGGGGTCACTACGGTATGCCAGAAGTTATATATTGGTTATTCAAGCTACAATGTGCAAATTTGTATGCGGGACACACACCTATGTCATTACTGGACTAAAATTAGATTAATGCACCGAAGAGCAGCACTCCAAGGCAAACTCGTGTGGATGTTCAAGCTCAAGCTCAAGAGGCGTCTGCCGAAGTACAAAGACGTCTGCCCTAAAGTGTTGGATGATGGCGCGACGGACGAAGGTAAGCGCTCGAACATCTCGTCGTCCCAGCTTCCACATCAGCCCATGGTAATGCAGCTCGACCATCCCTTTGGTATGCTGCCGAGACTATAGCCGTCACTGACTCTCCGCCTTCCCTGGGACTCTGGAAGAACAGACAAGAGCTGGCTGTGGTAGTCGAAGCTCGCGATATTCCCGGACCCCAAGCATACTGCTACCGACATGCCGCGTTACCATCGGCGGAGCAAGCAAGAAAAATGACAGTGCGCCCTAGGGCCGTGCCCTGTCTCGCTGAGTAAGGAGCTTGTGGACTGCGCGGTAAGCATCACGAACTGCAAGCGGCTGCGGAGGGCCGGGTTGTCCTTTGCCATTATATTCTTTCTTTAGCCAACATATCACTGATTTTTGGACCTATCAGGCTAGCATGTGCACATGCTAGACTCGGATACAGGTGGACGCGGACAGCAGGGTTATACAGGTGGCAGACAAGGTAAGTATTCTCTCTGCACGACTTGGCTATTACTGAGCTAATTTTGCACTAGCTCATAGAAATCCGGCTATGCTGATCTCTCCACCATGTCCCTCATAACTATCAAGTCCAATGCCGCTTCCCAGGCTGAGTAGGGTGACCACCGCTGAAGAGCCTGGTACTTAGGTGTGAGTACTGCCTTCTCTGTTGTTACCATGAATAGCTCTAAGTCATGCTGCAGATGTACTCTTATGCTTACTGTTTATGCTGCCGAAGTTGTGATGAGTATATGACTATGAGAGGGAGGTGTAGCATACCAACATGTACCTAACATAATATATGTTTAAATATATGTTTTCCCTCATTAACATCTATGGTGCGATTGTGTGCGCCGCGCCCCCGAAAGTGGTAACAATCTACTCGCACCTACAAACAAGCTACTGCCATACTGCGGTGAACTACTGAGCAAAGGCGGGTAGCTACTGGTGCCACGGAGGCGCAGCGAGAGCCACAGAGGGCTGCCGAATCGGGTACCATTCTACCAGTCTACCAGAACCCCGCAGCACCCGAAGCGCTGTGTGGCGCTGGCGTTTTTCCCTGATGGATGCTTTTTCGGCGGAAACACGGCTCATGTTTATTTGTGCGGTGCAGACTACAATCGTGAACACGATGCATCGTCACCGGCACCTCACGCCCCTGTACATCGGGGCCCCGACCTCCAACAACCGAGTGTACATCCTCGACGAGAACCTGCAGCCGTTACCGATAGGCTGCATCGGCACGATGTGGGCGGCGGGCGCCTGCGTGACGTCAGGCTACGTGAACAAGCTGGAGCTAACGCGCGATCGGTACCGCCCAGACCCTTTCTGCAACGACGGGCACGTAACCAACCCTCGTCTCTCTAGCTCTGTGATCTTACTGTGTGCACTACAGGATGACGTTTGACACGGGAGACCTCGGCCGCTGGAACGAACACGGCGAGCTGGAGCATTTCGGTCGACTGGACGATCAGGTAAAAGTCAAGGTGTGCTCCCACAGGCTAAGACAAAAACGCGAATGGCTCGCTCACACAGACCGCCCTGTGCAGGGTTTCCGCGTCGAACTCGACGGCGTGGCAGCCGTAATGGAGGCGCACCCCAGTGTCACCAGGGCAGTGTCTCTGCTCATTGGTACGGATTTTTGGGGGACCGTCAGCCCGTCTTCGGCGCCCATCGACGAGCTCAAGACATTCATCGAGCGCCGCCTACCGTACTACTCAGTTCCATCGCGGTATATTTCCCTAGAAATGTTCCCAATGACGAGGTGCGTGCTTCTTAAGGCTAAGAAACCATGCGAGTATCTCATCATGGACGTGTAGCAACGGCAAGGCAGACAAGCGTTCTCTTCGTAAAGGAGCGGTCTGCAGTGCTTCGCTTCTGTTAACGGAGCACAAATTGCAGGCCAAAGAGGGCACATGTCCTATTTTCCGATAAACTCTGTCCTCTGGCATGAGTGCGACAGTGATACTCTCTTGTGCATGCTGTATCGTCCATAGCTCGAGTGCATGATGATCGTGTCCCCGAGAGGAATCACAGTGCCACGCTGTGTTACGGTATACCGGGGTCTAGATGTAGCCTGAGGTCAAAGTCAAAGTTCTGCTGAGCGTAACTTATTTTTATATATCTTAGAGGTTTCCCCACCCGGAGGCTCTCCTTTCCATCATACTATATTTCTCTTCCTCACGAGAGCACAGCATATTCCAGCATTGACAACATTGGTTTAGGGGTACGGTGGTGCGCCTTGGGTAATACGGATTGTCAACCAAACGCCACAGCGTGAGATAGCGCAACCTCTACAACGTTTCTCCCACGCGATGAGCGGCGTCCGATCTCATAGTAAGGTCCCGAGGTTCTGTCCGTAGTCGGAGCGGGCCTTCCACAGCCTTCCCAGCCCTCTCAAGACAAGCCGACCCCAATCCGATCACGCATGATGAATCCAATCACAGGCTTGGGGGCCATAGTATTCATTCGCGTGCCGCGATCTTTTCCCAGGGTGCCCGATGCCGCACTGTGTCCACATTTACTCAAATGAAGCGCAAGTTGAGATTCGCGTCGGTTCGAATACGCCATGGAACTGTCTCGAGGCTGTCATCTCGGGCTTGAGGTGGCTCGGCATCATTGCACACATTACATCCGTGCCAAAAAAATTGCCATTGGAAGAGCGGCTCTTGCACACGAGAATGGGTGCAGCACACCCAGAGCTTTCACTGGCATCGAGAAGAGCCGAGCTCTGCTTGCCCGGGCCGTAGGATGTGGATCCATATGCTCCGAAAAGCGATGGCACGCACTTACCAAATCACATTCTCTGAGGGAATGCAGCCGTGCCGCGAGCCATGACAAGGTTCCCGGGCGGTGCCTACGGCAGGCGACGACGCACAATTGTGCTCGGCGGAGACTGCCCAGTCTAGAAAGTCAGCCTTTTCCCCCGTGTGTGCATATCATGTTCTACCCTATTTCGAACCTAGTGAAGAGCAACATAGCAGTCGGTGCTCCCGCAAGTATACCTCCTGCGGAGAAATTCTCCAACAAACTTACTGCACCTCCTCAAGAATGTCTTCGATAGGTACGGCTGCATGGTGACGCCATTAATCGAGTTTAAAGGTAGTTTACACAAGTCGAATGAGCGACGTGCGCAAACAGACTCGAAACGCTCATCCTCGCCACCTTGAGGCCCGCGGCCTCCGTTCCCCTGCTCGCAGCAGGATGAGTCCGACAGCGGACGAACACAAACCTGCTCAGGAGTGTTAGGTACGTCGCCGACGCTTTGTCAGCAGTGGACGTACCTAACTGGGATCCTCCTGAACGCAGATGGTATATAGGTGCAGCCGCGAGGGACAGGGGCCGCACACCTCGTCCCGTCTGACTTCCATCTGCGTTAGGTTTGTGCTAGCAGTCTCGTCACGCCTCGCCTGATCTGACCTCCATCTGCTTTAGGCTTCGAGTCTTGCTCCTTTCGCTTTCCCTCCCTTCCCGCCCTGTTTTTTCTTTGCTTCTGGCTTGGCTTGGCTGGTATGCTTTTCATGGACACTTTCGCAGCTGCTCTACCCGTCTTTGTGACTCTGCTCCTGTTGCGTGCCTTTTCTCGGTAACGCCTTACTGATGGCTGCTTTTTCATGTCATGCTTTAACTTCTACGGTTTTGTGTTTACTGTACACGGTCATGTCATGTAACCGGGCGCCATACACGGAAAGCGTCCCGCTCGCTGCGGAATTGAAATCAGGCTGTCGACGCCTCGCGTCGACAGCTGTTTATGCGGTAACCACACAGTCCTGCCCTCTCCCTGAACCTTTCACTCGGAGTCGCGCCTCAGTGGAGGAGCTGATTCGCATCCGCACCGAAGGTTCGCGGGAGCTACTGCCCAATGCGGGCTCGGCCGGTGACCGGTAAAGCCTGAAGTACAACGCGGCGCCGCACCCAGAGATAGTCGGAGCAAGTGCATCCTCATGGAGCGTCGAATGATTAATGAACATGCAAGCCGCTGTTCAATCTTCAGATATTTAAGGCTTATGTCAGAACCGTGGGTGCAGGGAGAACAACGAGCACATGCAGCCTCGTGGCGAAAAGCGCTTATTTACGGATCAATGATCGGAAAGCGTCCGGTTCAAAATCTTTCCGCGACCTCGCCAACGGCTGGGCGCACCGTGGCAGTCGCCCGGACTCGTCCGCTACGACAGCGGGGGTCGAAACCGGTCTAGTCTCAATGAGACGGTATGGGCCTTTGAAAGCTTGAAGCCCGGGGCGCCGTAAGTCACACTCTCGGGCCCAAATATTGTGAGTGAACGTGCACCTCTTGCCTTCAGTGACATCGCTGATTACTCAATTTGGGCGCGCTTTCGCTGCACGGAACGTAGACTCTCACGACGTAGGTTCTGTACGTCTGCGCTGCGGTAAGGTACGAGTACAGCCCCTTTGATTGACCCTCGATTCAGTGATACCGCGGCGATTTGTATCGCCCTACTCAGCAGATGTGGAGACCATTGAAGTACGCAGGACCGCATCCGTGAAAGCATCTTTCCGATCATCTGTTCGTCCAGCCAGATAAGAATTGCTGCCACGAATAGTTGAAGCCCGTCTCACGCCAGCTGTCAACGAGGGCCTTCGGGCGATAGTTCATCGTTTGCGGCACACGACACGCCGGCATCTTGCGGGGTTGGAACCAGTATCTCCACATGCTGAATATGGCTTATAAGTCGTGAATGAGCAACGCTCCACGGTACGCCCGGCCAGTACGCATCATGCCCACCATAGCCGACATTTCCTCCCTCGATGCCGCTGCACCTCCAGCTCCGCCTATCACACTCCCGCCCCTCGGCCTTTCTACGATGACGGCGATCTGGACATCTGCTATTCTATATGGTGAGTCGGTGTCTCTCATCATCAAGTAGCATTTGACCAATGGATTTCAAGGGATAAAGTATGACTTTTATACTGCGAGCTGCTGCTGATTTTTATCTCATACCGTAGCTGCATCATCTTTGGAGGCGCTCTCCATGTCCTATTCCGCCGCAAGGAGCGTAATTGGTAGGCACGGTCAAGTACACCATTCGTCTGGCTTCCACTGACGGACTACGAAATGCTAGGTACCTCATAATCTGGTCCTACCTGCTGTGGCTTGTGTCCACCAGTGATGAAATTGTGGCGTTTACCCAGCTATACCGTTCTCTGTCGAATCCTGCCTTGGTCGGAAATCCTGTGGCATGGGACGAGTACTGGCTTCTTGCAGATTCGCTTGACAGTGCACACTTGATAATTTACATCACCGTAGTCTTACTTCAGGATCTCCTTCTCGTAAGTTGCGCGACCTGTATCGTCCATCTGTGCTTACTTTACTGCTATAGATCTGGAGGCTGTATGTCGTCTGGGGACATAACTGGAAAGTTGTACTTATACCTGTACGTCTATTGTCCCACACTTGGAGACGTTAGCTGACATTGATAATTGCAGCTTGTGGTCGAGTTTGCCCACTTTTGTACGCTTATCCACCCCCGTGCAATGGCACTGGAAGCTGACGCTTTTGCAGCCTGCGCCTACGTCACCGGCGGCATTATACAGAAGGCTGGTGGTGGCGCTGCGACATCGGTTCAACATTGGGGTCTGGCTGGCTGGTCTCTGGATATCTTCATGAATACCACCGTCACACTTGCAATTGCCGGCAAACTCTGGTGGGCGGGCCGGAAGAGCCATTCGGCCGGCGGCAGATTTACATACCGCGCCACCGTCTACTGCATCCTCGAGTCTGGGGGCATTTTTGCCGGGGCCACCCTCATCTCCTTCTGCTTGGACGCCACCGGACAGGTCGGCAGCGCAGGAGGCGCCACATACTGTCTGAGTCAGGCTGCGGTACGTTCGGATTCTGCAAAGACGGCTGATACGGCCTCTGATGTCCCCTGCAGTCCATTACCCCCCTTGTGATCATCGCTCGCGTCGGGCTAGGTCTCGTTCACGGCCGGAACACCGCAACCTATAACGCGAGTGCACCTTCGCAGCCAATGGCGTTCGTTTCTAACCCGATGCAAGTTCATATCGGACGCTTGACGCAGTCGGATGATACCGAGCAGCACTCAATGACCAGGCTCGACAACAAGAGTATGAAGTCCTTGGACCACCCGCCGCAGGCCGCGCCGGGCCCCATCGATGATTAGACAGTCAAGTGAGTCATCCAGTGTACTACCCGTCTTTGTATGTCTCCCCGGCTTTTTGTTTTTCATCTTGACATATCCCTATTCTTGGCATGATCTTGTATTCTCGTATATTGACAAACGCGTTATGGCATATGCACATGTCACGTTGTAGAGGCAATTTTCTTTTGCAAAGGAGATAGGATGGGAGATTCCACTAGCGTATAAATCAGGAAAACATCCAGGTGTTGGAGGTGTTTAGATTAGACGACATGCCTTAGCTTGCCTTATAGGTTGCTGGGACCTGTCTTTGAGGTGTTGACCAACACCATCAAGGTGCTCAGGGCATATCGGTCCAAACACAAGAAGCGCAAACAACATCTGAACATTTTCCTGATGACTGGTTTCAGATGGATCAAAATGGGGTTAACCAATGTAGCATTCAGATCAAATGCTGATTGAAATATCAGTACTGCAACAGGGAGTGACACTACAGGCATGAGCTGATTTCACATCACTTGAAATGTCCTGGTCAAGCCATCAAAACTGTTTCATTTTTGAAGACTTAACCAGGGCTTTCTGGTGTCCCAAACTGATAGATTTGCTACCACTTTTGTAGCCATTTGTGGTGCAGGAAAATGATAAATTTTGTGTAGCCTGAAATGAACCTGAAATGACTCAATATGGCTACATTTCAGTACAGCAAAGAGTTCATGTTTCAGGAGACTTTGTGGCACATTTCAGGACATTTGAAAGAACATATGTAGAAATCATTCCTGCCTCATGTTTGCAATGAGGAAAGGTCCAGGCAAGGAAAATTTTTAATGGTCCTAAAATTACCATTAACAGCAAATTTGTAGTACATTTTTAGGACATTTCTGACTTATCTCAAGTAAAAATCTTCTAGCTCATAAAATGGCTTCAAAATCTATCAGAAATGGCAATTTCAGGACCATCAAAAAATTTCCTTGCCTGGACCTTTCCTCATTGCAAACATGAGGCGGAAATCATTTCTACATGTGTTCTTTCAGATGTCCTGAAATGCGCCACAAAGTCCTGAAACATGAACTCTTTGCTGTACTGAAATGTAGCCATATTGAGTCA